ATTTCTTTAAAATAAAAACAAAATAAAAAGTAATTCAAACAAAACTAACAACATGAGACAGTTAGGGTTTATAAGAAATTGATGTTATACATAATTTTGTTTTTGATCGTGTAAATATAGGTTTGCTATTGTAGATTAATGTATACTTAATTGTGTGACTGAAGAAAGTTAAATCGGAAAATTTCAGCTTTTTGTACGATAAATATATATGAGTTCCAATGTTGCCCCACGTGGAATAACATACTCAATTTAGGAAAAGAAACTCATACAAGAGCTGGTAAGCAAAGATTTCCTATACAAACATTAAATAACCTAAAATAGTTACGTTAACATATAATGGTGTAAAAACAATGCGTTTGACAATGAACTAAAGACTACGTTTCAAAATAGGGCGTTCGTGGCCTAGTAGTGAAGGTCGTTGACATCAAACCACTTGCCCCTCAAAGTCGAGGGTTCACATTCCGTATTGGACTTTGGATAATCTCATGTAAGGAAGCTATCCAGCTAGCTTATGGATTGTTGGTGGTCGGATTGAGCATTACAAAATAAATAGAAACGTTTGCTACATTGAAATCATATCGTCTTAAAATATGTCTATATGCAAGTTATCAATAATGCAATCAAAATAAAACATAAATTGTACCATCAATATTGTCACAGAATGAATATTCTTCCTAAGTATCTAACCCTGCGTTGCATTTTGATAAAGTGAGACCCTGTATTGGCTATGCAACTTTTCTTAGATTTCAACATGAAAATGAATAACACCTTATGGACTGTCATTATTTGTGGTTTAATTGAAAAGTAACTTGGTTTTATGTCCTGCTATGCGTATACATTACTCATTACATAGTTATTAAACTAGATTGTAATATTTCATGCATACACTATTCCAATTATAGTAAGTTCGCTAGCTGATATTCATATTACATGTCTTAGAACTATTAATTATATATCTATTATTATGTGTTATGTTAGATTTTATATTTAAAGAATGATAACAATTATTCAAAAGAGTAAAATTGACCTTCGATTGAAACATGTAAAAGGCTTTCGTTTGTTGACAAAATCACGTTATTAATCATTATAAGCGATATGTATAACTTAATGTGTTTTCAGTTGCAATTAAAACAATTTATTTAACATAATCCCTACAACAGTCTTTTAAATTGTTGAACAGGTGTGGAAAATGCTCAATATCACTTTCAATATTGTTATATAGAAACAGCCTTATTTGAAGAAAAAACAATAAAAAAACAAAAAATAACATCAACAAAAACAAAACGTTATTTGAAAATAATTTTCACAATTTCTCGGATAGTTAAAATGTCGATTTAAGTCTCTCGGATCAAAGAACGCTTTGTTTATCTGCCAAATCCTGTTTCTTACTGTAAAAAAGAGAAATAAACTATGATTAAAATATTCTTAATCTTGCCTGCAATATTCTACACACAATTCTTAGTGCATTTTATCTCCTCCTTCTCTGATTCATTTCATTCATTTCATAACATGTAATTTAATCAAAGTTATAATTAAGCCCTAATCACATTTTCTAAATATGTCCAAAAGAACCATATTACATTAATTTTCGTCTGGTCCCGTTTTCATATTACACGTCAAAAATGCTAATAAACCACATTTTTATCTTTCTCATACTACGTTACTAAGACTCCAAACCTGCCGTTAAACCTGTTTATAGAATTTCCTCGTTTGTTTGTTTGTTTGTTTGGGGTTTTACATTACATCGATACAGTGTATGTCATATCGCGACGTTCCAGCTTTACTGGCGGAGGAAGACCTCAGGTGCCCCTCCGTGCATTGTTTCAGGCACAAACGGGCACCTGAGTAGAACCACCGACGTTCCGTAAGCAAGCTGGGTAGCTTCCTTACATGAAAGAATCCAAAGTCTCTGTTGGGATTCGAACCCACAGCGGTGAGGGGCAGTATTTACTCGAACATATTCATATTCAACGCATGCTTTGGAGATTAGACTCAAAACTTAAACAATGCGGGGTGCATCATTGTAAAGATGAGATATACGTTATTCATTTTAGAGTATAACAATCTATTTCCAACCGGTTTGTTGGAACAATTATCATAAGACAACAAAGTAAAAATAAACTAACAACGTTAAAAGATGTTTCATCATGTAAATGATCATAGTAGTTTTTTTTTCTATTGTAAAGAAAAAAGAACAAAAGAAGAAATTCGATTGAAGACTATTTTATATAGATTTTCGCCTATCTTAAAGTGACGTTATGTTTTTGTTTTTGCTGTCAGGTTCAGTTTAATAAGTGATATATGTCAAGATATTCACTATTTTTGCATATAGAAACAAATTAAGTTCAATACTATTGAACTGCTGCAAAAAACATGACTTTTGTGTGTTCATTACACATCGAAGGTGTGCTTAACGTGTCTTCCTTTCATGCGTCACGAAGTCGCTTGTCACGAAATAGAACACTGACATCATAAAAAATGTTTTCCCTAGGTAACGTATTATGCCTTGTGAAAAAAATAACCCGGCCTTAAAAATTTGAAAAAAAGGACACGATGTTCCCCCACCTATTCGAAACTATATGATAATTTTGTAATTTGAAGAAACATAGTTGTGCCACAAGTAAGGCTCGAATTTATGATCCATGGCGTAGAAGAAATACACTTCTACCATTCGCCCACTGCTTCCCTTAAAGAAATGTCTGTCCCCATTATTTTATCAAATGAATTTATTGTATAAACATTAAACTTATTTTTGTTTTGGATTTGGTTTCGTAATTTTTTTATACCATCCAAACAAAATGAGAAAAACTCTTCTCTTACAGTAAAGATAAATTCACTTACAGCTGCTGCATTTAAGATGAGGATTTATTATATGTTTGATATTTATTCGCTATTTAATTAGAAAAGGAAATTTTAATGCTTCTATTTTAAGCAAATCTTCATAAACTTATTGTTTATGATGAAAAGGGTTACATTTCTTTAAACAAATGATAAAAATGTAGGGGGTCACCATTTTGGAGGGAAGTGTAATTTTCGTCGTTGGAGGAAGCCGTAATACTTTGGCCAGGGTAAAACAGTGTTAGAATAACAATTATATAAGGCCACCAAATCATAATTTATCATTGTACTGCTAAGGGTATGAAATGTAATATCATGCAAAATACTCTTTCTTTCATTTCTAAAGTTAGTCCAAATAATGACTAGTTATATGGGTTTCAAAAACTTAGATGTAATCTATGAGATTGACGTTTTTTTTTTGTAATTCAAATATACAAAGTTACTAGCATTGAAATTGATATTTAATTAACATTAAATATTAAAGATATTAAACGGTTTTTGTTTAGGCAACCTATTTAACTTCCTAATCAATTTTAAGAAGACAGTCATTTTTTATATGTATGACACAATCATAGATAGTAAATTGTTTACATTAATCAAATGTTATTAGAAGGACAAAAGTTTAAAAAGTCATAATGAATTTGAACCCTTGTCTCTGATTTTTATTTTTACTAATGTCAAATGTCATAGTGACAGACAGTCTTTATTTCATAAAACAAGGTAAATTCATTGTGTTTTTGATGTAATGTTTATATTACTAACATCAACCAAATGCCTTACGTAAATTTTTTATATATTAGCATAATTCTACTTTACTGTTATTCATATTACAAATTTGTAAAAGTTTTCATTTGCTTTTATCTGCATAATAAAGTCATCCGGATCGGATAATCACATGTCATTTATTTCTATGCAGCTGAAGATATGTATGTATATGTATTCAAAAACTAATATAGACTGCACATTGTTGTTTACTAAAGTCATCTTACGTGAACACTTATATACGCGAGCATCTTTACAATGCGGACGATGATTTACTTCATGGTTTATATCTTACTGGTGTCGTATTTTAATAGTAAGTCATTATATTGTTTTCAAAAGTTTTAATTTGATTTCTTTTAATTCCTTAACATTTAATTTGTATAAGTCAAATATCTTTGAAAAATTACAAGTCCTGCCGAATTGATAATAACAATATATAAACTTTTATTTACATTTAAGGCAGCTTCGTGTTTCTTTTCCTTAAAGGATATAATTTGTTTTGTTTTATATTTTTCGATTATGTTGAATAGTTTCGTTATTTATTTACAAATTAACAGAAAAAACTTTATATCATGTACATCATTCATTACATAGCTTATTTCACATATTTATTTTTATTAAAACATTCAATACACTCATAAACAAAAATATAAAGAATAATTATTTTTTCTGCCTCATTAGATTGTAAAAAGGGAATAAATGATACACATACACGTCTCTTGCATTTCAAACAGGGCTATCTCCCGTGCCAGAAAAAAATGTCTTGCACCCCGATGTTATACAAGTCGCGTGTTTAAGAATGACTTTATTCTATTCCGTTCATAGAAGTCATTATTTAAGGACGTCGTGAATTCATATGCTACTATAAGAAATGATTCCTAAATGAAAAGATTAGTTTTCTTCATTTCTTTTCGAAATATCATTTGTATCTGACGTCACAGACAGGAAAAAATATCTAGTTCCCGGGTAACTATTTAGCGGAAGGTCAGCACAGTATCGTTACCACCGTAAACAAGTACCCTCAAGCTAGAAATCCCGGCCTGTACCCGAGGCCAATGTAAACCCCTTTTAAGGACTTCAAATTTATATACGAATCAAACTGGTCACTAACTGTTTGTATTTGGAACAGACCGATATTTTGTAATACCGTTACAAGAAACATTATACCAAATAAATTTTAATAACAAATCACTTTAAATCTATCTTTGTATGCATTAATGAATTTTTCAATTTTTCACATAAATGCCATTTCAGACATAATTTTATTATGTTGTATAATTATGAGATACTTTCATAAAATATTGTGTTGGTTAAGACAGTTAAATACTGTTTCGGATAAATACAAATCTTTTATTTTGAAGTCTTAGAAACATAAACATATATTTTGTACGATTTTCTATTTTCTGTTAATTTTTCTTCCTTCATTTTACATTTGTAGCCGATGCGGTTTCAGTCAGTGGCGAACTAGACACAAGTAAGGTAAATGATTATTATATACGTATTTATAAACAATTCCGAGGTATTAACCAAAAGAAGTGATTTCCGTCTCACTTGCGGCACATACTCGAAAACAGTTGGTTCCTCGCTTTGAATGAATGTTTTAATAGAACTGCTAAATTGTAAATCTTTTTTACAATTTGTTAACATCACTTTGTGAAGTATGTGCAGCTCACCCATCCGCATACAGTTAGATATATATGTATATAAACTAATACTGCGAATTCACTTATATTCGTGGGCATGAAATTTCGTGGTTTTATCATAACGCACATTTTCGTGAGTTCTTAAATTCGTGTTTTTTTCAATTTCTTGTAAAAAATAAAGTAAATATCCTAATGTAAAGTAATCTTACACTTAATCGACGCGCATTTTACTTGCCGCATGTACATATCTTTCCGTATCACACAGCGCTTGTCAATAAATTTAATCCTTGCCTCTGGGCATTCATTACACAAAAATCGACAGAAAAGCGCCGATGCATGTTTGTAATGTATTGAAAAGAGACATGCCAAGAAGTATTTGCTGGGATAAAATTTCTTCGGATCTTAAATTCGTGGATTGACCTACCCACGAAAACATGAAAATTCGTGCCCCACGAATAATAATGATCTTACAAGTATATACAATTGTGTATGTTGTTTACAAGTACTCATCTGTAATCCGATTATTGGCGTTTCACAAATCATACCATCGTAGCACCGACAACGTCAGTTTTTATACTATATACTTAACCGTTTGTTCATTTTTTTTGTTTTGACAGCTTTGCCTAGTAGAAACACTAAGTTTCTCTGTTTCAATTTTCTGATCATATAAAACGCCATCAGTTTTCTTTATGTGGATCTTTAAGCTAATTTTCTCAGTGCATTCTAGAAAGTTTTCTGAATAATCTTAATTTCTGACTTTTGATTGCACAAAAAATGGCACTGTCATGTACATTATATTCAGTGTCGGAAAATTAAGATAAATCATCTACTTGAAAAGTTTTAATTACAAATATTTGTCTACCAAGAAAATGAATTTATCATATTTTACAGCACAAATGTTGTTTATAAAATTGATAACTATTTATATCACTGACACATGTTAATGAATCGTCAGAAATCGATGTTTCCATTACTTCTTTGTTTTTAAATATAGCTTTCCTTTTTAGGCAAACAGATACCTTATAGAAAAGTGGACAAAGTGGTCTAACGCAAATGATTTCAATCATGATGGTGTTCTGTCAATGGATGACATTATACTCTTTGAGTAAGTAAGAAAATAATATTCAACCTTAAACATTTATTGACGACGCAGAAAAATGAATATACTCAATTTATAAAAATTAGATTTTGAACTCGTCCAGCACACAGGTTCTGATCACATCGACAGAGCCAAATGTAACACAATGACAACACAATTTTAAGGTAGCGAAAGTAAGCAATAAACTCTATAATTAATAAAAAGGATGTGAAATATATCTGTTAGAAAAAAACTAGACTTCGAATACAAGCAATTTGTTTTTCATTCGTTAATTCGATATTAACAAACAATACAAAGTTGGAGTTTTTGATATATATGCAATGCATTAGTAACTAACCTGGCATCAAACCACTCATATTAGAGTCGTAATGACAAATGACAATGATTGACAGTAATGCTATTTTCTTCAAATATCTTTTCAGAAGCAAAATGTATGGTACTATTTTAATCTTTCAAAAAGTAAAACTTTAAAAAAGCAGTGTAATTATTATATATTTTAAGGACAATTTCAATGCTCCTAAGTCGTTCAATGAAATAATTATTTATAACAGGGACTATTACAAAGATCAAGATAACCTGAGTGATGATCACTTAAAGGAAATCGAAAAAAGAATGAATCGAGTATGGAGGAAAATAATTTTAAATAACACCATGGAAGTCACTACAGACGACTTTGTAAAGATGCTGAAGCAAAAATATGAAGCAGACAGAAAAGTATTTACTAAGATGATGCGCGAGTTTATTTTGGATTGGTGCGAAACAATGGACTTGAACGATGACTATTTCATTTCAAAAGAAGAATTTCTTACTAACATGTTTGCATGTCGGCATAATGAAGTTTCAGTAGACGACGAATTCTTTCTGGCCTTTAAGCCTGTAAACGGACGGTTTCCTGTTAAAGCGATGATTAAATATTTCATACGCTTTGTAACGGAGACAAATGAGTCGACTCAAGACATCTTTAACAACGCATTAGATTCTGGTTTTTAAATAATGTGTTGTTTCTTTTTTTAATCTTTATTTCGGATATATTGCTTTACGACTATATTTCTTTTAAAGAATTTCTGAAAACAGATTCCGAATTAAATGTGAAACAGTAGATCTTTTCGTGTTTATGCTTTTGTTATTTTTAAACATAATTTAATGTCATGAGAACAATTCGAAATAGTGTAATCAAAACCAATTCGAGATAGGCTTTTTTGTTTGTTTTGAAATCGTATTTGTTTCAATATCAATGAAAGTATATCAGTTCAAAATCCTTGTTTTGCTAAATTCATCTATATGGATGGATTTTTGTCATTTTTTAAAGGAGCCTTACAAACAATTTAAAGAGGTTATCTTATTTGATTTTTGTTTTTGTTTTTTTTGTTGTTATTGTTGTTGTTTTTGTTGGTCTTACTTTTATGGCACACTAACACAAAGGAAAGACGTCGTTTTTGCCAAAACTTATGATTATGCAGTTATATCTAAACAGTCTTTGACTGAACCGAAAATTTTACTTCAAATAGAGGATTTCGAAGTGACCACTTCCTTTAATATATGGCATTATTTATATGCATGCATTGCAAGCAGAAGATCTTGTATTTCACTTCCTTATTTATTTATGGGAACTGATCGGATAGCTTTTACTTTAAGCTTTACATGGATATTGTTGGATTTTATCACTTCAGTTAGGCTTCAAGACCAGATGTTTCAAGATGTCATGGGAAACGCATCATTTTTGGTTCTGTGCAAATCACAGACGCTATAAAACAAAACATATAAACGTTTAATACAGCTGCACAATTAAGAAGATTTGTTTCTCTTTGAATTCAAATTAACTATATATCTATAATGTGTTGTGTTAGATTTTATCTTTAAAGAGAAGATAACAATTATTACAAATAGTAAAATTGAACTTGGATTGAAATATGTAAAAGGCTTTCTTTTTTATCAATTCACTTAATGAACCATTACGAGCATAATGTATATGTAAATATGTTTTCAGATGCAATTAAAACAATTTATTAAAAAGAGTCACTACAATTGCCTTTTAATTTGTTAACCAGGTGTTCCAAATGCTCAATACACTTTCACTTTGTTTTCATTTTTTTTGAATTTTAGATTTAAACAAAATTATATTATAGCCTTGTTATCTAATACAAAAATGTCCAAAAGAACTATATACATTTATTTTAAATCTGGTCCCATTTTCATATTATACGTCAAAAACCCTATAAAACCATATTTAGTTTTCTCTTCCAACGTAACTCAGTGTTAAACCTGTTTTAGTATACACTCGTACATATTTGTTCTCAAGACATGCTGTGGAGATAAGACTTAAAACTTAAACAATGCGGGTGCGTCACTGTACATATGAGTTATAAGTTATTCATCTTAGTATAACAAATAATTTTCAAATGGTTTTTAACCATATATATGAAGAGCCATAATAATACAGATGTTTGAACAATAATTATATAATGACATCAAAATAAAGCAACTGTCAACGTTAAAAGATGTTTCACCGCGTAAATGTTCATAAAACTTTTTTTATATAAAGTAAAAAACAGAAATTCAAATGCAGTCATATTTTATATAGATTTATACGTGACAATATGTTCACTGTTGCTGTAAAGTTCAGTTATATTAGTAATATATTTCAAAAGAAATTTATTTCAAGATTATTGAACAACATATATGTTAATTAATTACCTTTTCCTATGTTACGTGCTTACGCCTCCTGAAAAATAATTACCTGGACTAAGAAATTCTACAAAGGACACGATGTGCCTCTGCCTTATCTGAAACTATAACCATGCCCCCCCACTCATACTAATAAAATCTAAGACATTAATAAAATTAAAAAAAGAAAGAAGCTTCGTAGAACCTCTTATAAGTCCTTGTCCTTGAACTAAACTGCACTGACGTTATTTGAAGAGCCATAGTCGTGACCATAGTAAGGCTCGAACCGATGATCTATGGAGTAAGTGAAAAACACTATTACCATTCGCCCATCGCTTCCCTTAAGAAATTGACTTGGTAATATATATATATGTCTCTGTCTCCCATGTACTTAAACCCTAATTTTATCAATAAATAGTATAAAACAAAAAAACTTATTTTTAATTGTTTTTTTAAACATTGTTTAACAAAGTAAAAACATGTTGTGATTTTCTAAAACAATCCAAACCAAATGACAAAATTATTGTTCTGTTACAGTCAGGATACTTTCTCCTACAACTGTTGCAATTGAGAAAAGGAATAATATATCTTTATGCAGTCATTATCAACTTGAAAAGGAAATTTTCATGTTTCTATTTTAAGCAAATCTTCATCAACTTTTCGTCTATTATCAAATAGGTTACCTTTCTTTTAACACATGACAAACAAATAAAAGGGGGTCATCATTTTAGCAAGTGTTCTTTTCTTCGTTTAAGGAGGCCGTTAAATTTTGACCAGGGCTGGGGGAGGGTCAATATTATATGTGGTCATTTTACTTCGTTACACCGGACGAATTTTATACAAATAGTAATGTAAAAACCCCTAATCCAGGACTGTAATAAATGATTTCAGAATTGATGAAGTAAATAGTAGTAGATATAACAATTTATTTTAATACAGTGTTGGAATCAACATTATATAAAGACATCAGTGCAAAATATACAACAAAAATATGCAATGTATTGTCATGTACATGTAAAATAATGTTATCGTATACTTCTTTTTTCTATTCAAAAATAAGTTCAAATGTTGATCTATTATATAGATTTCAAAACTTATACGTATTCTGTGAGATTCTTTTATGTCATTCCATAAGACTACTATTAGATATTGCATCCCTCATGCAGATGTTACGAATGTTTCAGTATACTTGCAAAAATGCGTACACTACAGAAATGTATATACCTGTCTAGCTAAATACACAGTTACGAGCATTGAAATTTCACTTTAATTATACAAAATATTATACGGAGTTCTTTTAGAAAACTTTTAGGCTTCCTACCCAATATTCAGAAAACAATCATTTAATAAGTATGTTGCAATTAAAGATACGATATTATTTAAATGAAAAAAATAAATAATAAGAGGTTTGAAATCTTAATAACTCATAATGACCTTAAACCCTGTCGCTATATTTGTTTCTTACTAATGTCAAATGTCATAGTGACTTTTTTTTTATTTCATTATACAAGTTAAATTCAATATGTCATAGATTTAACGTTTATATACTTACATCAAAAATTACTTTAAATACAGTGCTCATATATTAACGTTATCCAACTGCATTCTTATTCATATTAATTATTTACATATTTGTTAAAATTTACATTATATTTACTGATTAACAACATGATCTGGCTTGGATAATGACATGTCATTTGTTGCCATGCAGCTGAAGATATGTTTGTATATATATTACAATACGAATATAGACTGCGCATTGTTATTTAGTAAAGCCATCTTACGTGTGAATACGCGAGCATCGATATCATGCGGACGATGATATACTTGATTTATTTCTTACTGGTATTGTATTTCAAAAGTAAGTTATTACATGCTTTTAAAAGATTTAATTTTAATTGATTCCTTATCATATTAATTGTATGAATTTCAATCATAAAAAGTGTCAAACTGTGCGGAATGTTTTGAATAATACATGTATATCATCATTTTAGGCAGCTTCGTGTATCTTTTTCTGGTTTCGTTTTAAATTTTTGATCGCTTTGAATAGTTTCTTGGTTGATTTACAAATCAGCTACATTTTATGTACATCGTTCATAGTTTACTTTATTTGTTGAAAAGTCTTTTAGAGCATTTAATTCTTTTACAGCATTCAATAAACTTATGATTAAATATTAAGAAACAATATCAATTTATAATAAGATTGTATAAAAGAGAACAACATAAGTGATGCACACATGTTTCTTGCATCCAACAGCCAGTGTAAGATCCTTACAATGTACAATCCTAACTTCAGATTTATGTTTAAAAATGAATCGAACAAATCACTAAACTAGTGCTAATATTTACACAGACTCGTATTATACGAAATAAATATTAATCAAAGTTAACTTAAAATCGTTATTATATAAAACATGCATTTTACATACCTTTTACGCAAACGGTATTAAAGTAACATTTAAGTTAATAATATTTTATTCGTGAAAATTTCCATACAGTATTATGATGTCTGAGACGGTTTAGATACGGTTTGAATAAATACATTATTTTTTCAACCCTTTTTTTTATTTGTAGCCGCTGCGGTCTCTATCAGTGTCGAACCAGACGCAAGTAAGGTAAGTACAGTAGGGTGAACGTGTCAGTTTACACGCAAAACGCACGTTACACGCTATACGAACGCACGTTACACGCTATACGAACGCACGTTATACGCACGCAAAACGAAACGAAATACGCAGACGCACGCAAAACGAAAAACGATAAACGATATACGCTAAACGATATACGCTTTCTCGAAACGCTTTGAAACGCACGCAAAATAAAACGTTTCGTCCAAACGTTTCAAAACGTTTAACAGCAATGTTTTACCTATTACAATAAAGTTAGTAAATTAAAATAGTCTTGATTGTTAAACATCAAACATTTATATTTTCTATTATTTTTTATTGATATAACAATTGATCTTTATGTAACAGGTTTAATTGATCCTTTGAATTTCACACATTTACAATAACAGTAAAAGCGGCCGTTAATTACCCTTCACAAATAAGAAAGGTGTCTCTGAAAACAATGTCGAGGGGGTCTTATGGAGTCTTTTATCTGTGTATAATGCGCTAATTGACATCGCGGGTACATCTTTCTGGCGCACCTGTGAGAAATTATTGTTCTTCGACCTATGAAAGTGTGAAATTAAGGCATTATAAAAGGTCATATATCAAATATCTGTTTATTACTTTTCTGATTTTATACGTGTTTATTAGTGATAGATCTACTCGAAGTATTGTTTGCAGTACCGTTGGATTTAAAACATCAGTCTCAGGTAAGTTTATTTTATTACTTTAGATACTTTTAGGGTAGGACAACCCATCTGCATTTTATCCTCTTGTTATCTTTACATGTAAACCGTTCAAACAAGGACAAAATGGTGCCATCAGCGCAGAAGTGTTCGTAGAAGTTCGAATATGATGTAAATATCTACTCGTGTTGATTTATCTGATTAGATTTTGTGATGTTTTGTCAGCGCAACCACGTTGGCTGCTCAAAAAACCCATTGACATTGCTCAATTTTCCCCGTCTTTTGTGGTCAGTCGAAATAAATAGATTGTTTTTTTTTTATCTGAAATTGTTGTCATGCAAAAGTTACGTTTCTGTAAGTAGAATTTATTCGTGAATGCTTATTTTAACCGTTTTAATCTAATGATATTTTATTGCCCAAGAAAATTATATTTTTTGTACAACAGTACTGTATAATTATTCGGACATAAACACTTCGGACACAACACCCACCCTCTTTTTATACTATAACGAAGGGTGTCTGAGAATGTTTCTTTTCCTTAAAATTTCTATGGATGAAATATACAGAAGTTAGTGCAGGACATTCGTAAAATCTTTTTTATTTATATCATGTTAAGACTTGGATCTGCCCAGTGTTCACTAAGATTAAGAAAGGTCTGGATCAACAATTATATCTAGTGTTGTCATCTCTCCATTTTGGCAGTGTCTTGATAAAAATCTGCGTTTTAAGATATTTTTGACTTTCATATAATTTGTAACCATTTCAAGTCATTTCTGCCCCAAGACGTAGGCCTATCCGGCTCAAATTACCCAAGTCGTTTCAGCCCTTTACCAACTCGACCCTATATTAAGTTCAGAATAAGTTTTACCTTTACGTGTTTTATGCAAGAATTTTAATAGCATTTCAAAAAAAGAATGAAGTAAAGGAATGAAAGAATTAATTAAATAATTAAATTTATAATTTTGTAATTGAATGAGGCTTTTAAAGTAGTAGTGATCAAAACAAACAGATCAGAACATAAACTTAATTAAACAAAAGATAGTACAAAACACTGAAAAGGATTTTCATCTGCTTATTATCAACAAGCATTTTTTTTAAACTTTAACATTTAAAAAACAATACAAAGTACAATACATGAAACAAACATTTATTATCAACAACAATATTTCAGCAATACAAAACAATTAACACATAACAGTTAAAAAATACATAGCAGTTAAAAAATAATACTTTCATGAAATAAAACAAACAATACATTGTTAACAGGTATTTTTTAACAAATAACACTTTTTTTACTATAAAAGTGACAGATTTCAATCAGAATGTTTTAATAGTAATTTAAAATATTATCAAGAAATTATAACAAATCATTAGTTTAAAAACTTTTGAAGTTTTCTTTGATATTAGTTTACTAATCGCTAATTAGCAATAATTAAAGCGATTAAAAAAAATTTGTTACACCTTGAAAAAAAACACATACATAAATATAAAATAAATATTGTTTGTGTGCCATCAATCAATATACTACATTTTTTTTAAAGATTCTAAGTAAAAAACTCCTTTTTAAATGTAATTAAAAAAGGGCCGAAACGTCTTGCGGAAAAGGGCCGAAACATCTAGGGGCAGATTTTTGCACATATGCCGATTTTGTTTGGGGCCGAAATGTCCTGTTTGCATTTTTAGCAATACAATATGGCTAGCCGTATGTGTCCTGGCAAGTCGTATGTGACTCACATATAGTTTGAACTTTAGTATAGTTGTAAGGGCCCATATGGTTAACCACTTCCTATTATTACATAGACGATGTTTGCCCTTCAGTTAAGTCTGACATTTATGTAATTTAGTTTGTAACATTGGTTGGTCTTATTGAGACTAAGTGGGACATGCAATGAGGTTAAAAGATCATAGAACAGTTGCAAGGTCAGACAGAATAATCACCTATATTTTTATGTATAAACAGAAAAAAATCATCTTTAATTGGATTTGAGTCATTTCAGCCACATATTACCCATGACATTTGCTCTTCCAAATAGACCACTGTCTTAGCTTTACACATTTTTACCAGAATGAATGAATGAATAGAGGTGTGGATAGTAGACGATCCGGACCACAATTCAGCACTAATGATTCACAAATCTAACCACGGATCTTTTGTTAGCAAGACAGCCTTTATTAATGTTTTTTTCTTTAAACAATACTAAACCTTAAACATATATGCAAATATAAACAAGGTTTATGTTTTTTATTCTTAGCATGAGTATATTTCAAATTCAGAAACCTATACAAAAGTATTTCAAAACATTAGAAGTAAATTTTGTTGGTAGAATTTTATATTGGGACAACTCTTTTCATCTATTGTTGCAGAGAGGTTGTGTGACGTGACACTTAGTATTACGTAATTATTACCTTGAGTTGCACAAGTTTTGGATTATTATTATTTTAATGATTATTATTCTTAAAAATAAAACCATCTGCAATACATGTCACCCTATTACAAATCTATATATAGCGACTGAAAATATTTATTTACTTTCTTAAAAACATAGTGCTCATTTAAGAAAAAGTGATTCCTTTTTCGAAACTAATGACTTCCTAGCTCAGCATCATGGAACTGGTTTGTTTATTTGCCGTCTTTAATCGACAAATTGTATTTAGGTAAACATTGCATAATGCATACTCAAACTTTTTGGACTTTTTTAGACTGTTAAAAACAGTAAATGTATATATATAAACAAATAAGATTGCGAGAAACAGTAAATGTATATATGGACTTGCGATTTTTCTTACTCAATTATTCATTTAATTTGTGATTATCAGAGTACTCGGATACTCTCCTAGCCCTATGAATGAATGAATAAATTTTATTATGATTTCGTAATGGAATGAGGCTTAAATGGAGGAAAAAAGTAATCAATACAAAAAGAAAAAAAGAAACATAAACATATTACACAAGCAGATCGATTTTTGTTGGATAATCATTATCATGTCAATAATATAATCAAAAGCGCATTTTGTTTGTAAGAAAACCCTTTTTGTGTCGCCTTGAAAAGGTGACATATAGGGGTTACTTTTGTCGGCGGTGTCGGCGGCGTCTGTGTCGGCGTCGTTGTCGGCGTCCCCTAAAGCTTGTCTGGAGCATAACTCAGTCACTATAAGTCTGAATGACTTCAAACTTGGTATGCATGCTTCTTTCAATAACCTGAAGTGCAGTGCACAAGGACCGGTACTCTGCAGTTCTTATTTTTTGAGTTATTGCCCTTTGTTAATTTTCATACTTTAATTTTGTCCGGGCCATTTCTCTTCAACTAAAAAAGCTATGGACTTGAAACTTCATAGGATGATAGATCTCATTATTAAGAAGTGCAGTGCACAAGAACCAGTACTCTGCACTTCCTAATTTTTGAGTTATTGCCCTTTGTTAATTTTCATACTTTATTTTTGTCCGGGCCATTTCTCCTAATGTATAAAAGCCATGGACTTGAAACTTTATAGGATGATAGGTCTCATTAAGAAGAAGTGCAGTGCACAAAAACTGGTACTCTGCATTTCTTATTTTTTTGAGTTATTGCCCTTTGTTTATTTTCATACTTTAATTTTGTCCGGGCCATTTCTCCTTAAGTATAAAAGCTATGGACTTGAAACTTCATAGGATGATAGATCTCATTATTAAGAAGTGCAGTGCACAAGAATCGGTACTCTGCATTTCTTAATTTTTGAGTTATGGCCCTTTGTTAATTTTCATACTTAATTTTTGTCCAGGCCATTTCTCCGAAAGTATAAAAGTTATGGACTTGAAACTTCATAGGATGATAGATCTCATTAAAAAGAAGTGCAGTGCATAAGAACTGATACTCTGCATTGCTGATTTTTGAGTTATTGCCCTTTGTTGATTTTCATACTTTATTTTTGTCCTGGTCATTTCTCCTCAAGTATGAAAGCTATGGACTTGAAACATCATAGAATGATAGATCTAATTGATAAGAAGTGCAGTGTACAGAAACTGCTGCTCTGCACTTATTATTTTTTTAGTTATTGCCCTTAGTTATTTTTCATATTTCATTTTTGTCCTGGCCATTTCCCCTAAACTACATTGTTCACAAGGCGACACATCCGACTCGCGGAGTTCTAGTTTAGTCTTTGTTTTAGCTCGACTATCCGCAGAATAATCGAGCTATTTTATTATGCAGTCATCCATTTGTCGGCGTCTGCGTCCCTGTGGTTAAGTTTTTGCGTATAAACTGGTATCTCCTGAAAAGAATGGATTGAAACTTCACACACTTGTTCTGTGGGATTATCTCACATGATCGTCTTAAAACCCATAACTCTGGGTTGCTTTTTTGCATAAATATGTCCCTTTTTTGACTTAGAAATTCTTGGTTAAGTTTTTGCGTGCCAGCTGGTACCTCCTTAACTACTGAAGGGTTTATGCCTTTTTTGAACAATTTTATGCATTTGTAATAATATAACAGTTATTTACTCAATAAAACATCTTAATAACAGGCCTTTGTACATTTTCAGACAATTTTATGTATTCATATATGTCAGCATTTAACAATAATTATACTCAATGAAAATTGTGCCTGATTTGTGTCCGTACTTATTTTCAGCTTTTCAGATTTTTTAAAGGTTACGTCACATGTAAAATGATAATGTGTACTAATGATGATGTTACATATCTAAATATAGAACTGCAACATAACACACAATTTCGGTTCTTCTATATTCAGTAGGGAAAACTGTGGGCCGTGTTAGAATAATTCATGGACTGTCCAGGGTTTTGTTTTACATATATTTAAAATATTTAGCGTGCTTTCCCGACAGCTTTTGTTTAAATAATTCATTTAGTCCATATCTAGACCAAAATATTCATAACATTGTGTGTTTTATCTTACAGTGATGCGTTGGGCTTTAATTCTGTATGACGAAGATGGATTTACGTCAATCGAAAAATCCACATCTCTTACTGGGAATATCAAACAGACTTCAGTATGTAAGCTGAAAATAACCAATGGCCAGACATATAAAGTCGAGATTCTCCAGCTTGCTGGTAAGTTGAAAATTGAAAAAATGACATGTAAATTGAAATGTGACATTATTTCCTTTTATAATTTGCAATAATGATCAGTGACAATATTTGTTTCAGGAAAATCAAGAGTAGATACATAATCCACTCATATTTTGATATATAAAACTGAGACTGTTTAATCTTGACAAATAATGTCACATTTAGCACCACTTTATAGGCTCCACTTTACAATTTACAAAGAATATGGAGAGCTTCCTTTTTGCGTCAGTGTCTGCGCCCAGATTTCAGATTTAAGTTTTGATGCTGTAAATGCTATTTACTATATCTTTTTTAGCTATTGTAATTTGCTTTTTGTCAGGCGTCTGGCTGCCTTCTGTTTGTAAACTCTTACTTTAAACCGCTAAAATAGAGAAAAACAAAATCACTAAAGAAAGTCAAACACTACAAAATTGAAAATGTTGCAGGCTCGGTTTGATTGAGCCTATTCATGGACGGTACTGGAAAGTACAAGTTACCGTCCAAGCCCCCCTAGCACAGGCTTAAGCAGAATTCATTATTTAACACGAAAATGGTGAAATTTTGAATTTAGAAACATCCACAGATGTGAGCCAATTTAATCCAAACTTTAAAGAAATGTTCCTTTGGAAGTCCACCTTAAAAATTATTCAAAGAATTTTATTCCATACAGAACTCTAAAAAAAACAACAACAAAAAATAGCAAAAGGGCTAGAGGTTAAGTATTTGGCATGAAACATCATCTAGACAGTGTCTACCAAGATTGTCCAATAAAATCCCTGGGGTCTGACCGTCAAAATTGGCCCGCCCTTGTGGTTATTGATATTCCTTATATGTATATAGTAAAAACTTTAAAAAATCTTATTCTAAAAAACCAAAAGAATTAGAGCTTAAATATTTGGCATAAAACATCATCTAGACAGTGTCTACCAAGCTTGTTCAAATGAAATCTTTTTGTCTGGAGCTTATCTCAAAAAGTATTTGCGGTATTAACTTACTTTAAAAGGTGTATAGATCATATTGAGGGGGATGCATAATTTTTCAGTTATTGCCCTTTGTTATTTTTCATGCTTATTTTTTGTCCAGAGCATAGCTAAAAAAGTGTAAGAGGTATCAACATAAAACTTCATAGGTGGATAGACCTCATTGAGGAGGAGTGCAACACACAAGAATAATAACTCTCCCTGCATAATTTTTCAGTTATTGCCCTTTGTTATTTTTAGCCATCAGTTTTCATTTCAAAAAGACCTCTTAAAATTGAATTATTCTGCTCTACTACACATACATTCTTCAATAAGCAAACACATTCAGCAAGGGATGGCCATGTTGACATGGCACTTGTCATACTTATTTTTTAGCTTGACTATTCAATAAGAAAGTGGTAGAGCTATTGTTGTGGCCCGAGCATTAGGGTCGCTGTCTATGTTAAAGTTTCTGTAATACCTCAAATGTTTTCAAAGTCCATTGGCAATTGGCTTTGAAACTTTGCACAATTGTTCACCATCATGACCCCAATCTGTGGACAGGAGGTGGTAACTGTATTATGCATTTTGACAGAATTATGCCCCTTTTCCACTTAGAATTATCATTTAAGTTTGCATACCACTTCAGATATCTCATTTAAGTTTGCATACCACTTCAGATATCTTCTTATTCTACTCTTCTTTGAGAGCATAATACATGTAGGACTTTCTCCATGGACTATAACTGTTACATGGATTTGAAGAAAAACTTTTTTATTATCAAGGCTCTTTTACTATCAAGCACTAGCATAGTTGAGCATTGCTGTCCTACCAACAGCTCTTGTTGTCCTGGCCATTTCTCATAAACTATAAAAGCTATGGACATGAAAACTTCATAGGATGATATATCTCACTGAGATGAAGTGCAGTGCTCAAATATAGGTACTCCATGATTTTTGAGTTATTTCCTTTGTTTATTTTGTTACATTATTTTTTTCTTAGCCTCTGTTTGATCTGTCTGTGTAAAATTTTTTCCATGGTATTTTTATTTTTTGAACAGTTTTATTGATCCTGATAGTTACAATCAGTTCAAATGCCACAAAAATTCAAGGTACATGTACATAGGAAGATTGGTGTTTATAAATAACCTATATTTAAGAAGAAAATGCTGATATCTCAAGTGACAGCTATACTGTTAACAAGGCGACAGATGTACCGACTTGCAGATTTCTAGTTTAGCTTGTCTGTTTCCAATGTGGAAGTGGCATTGTCGTTTTCATCATCATCATCATTAAATTTGTCAAGGCTTTTTTTTTCGTAAATAGTGAAGGGGCTTTGTCCTTTTTGATTTGTACATATTTATAAAACCCTGAGAACACCAAAGATCTACAGTCCTTTCTTAATCAAGTACAGTTGGAAACAGGTTCACGCTATCATAATAATGCTTATTGATGCTTATTGTTTTTAATATCATAGATACCAAAGCTGAGCTGAACAAGTATGCCAAAAATTGGGGGCTGACCCATCGGGCACTAGCCATTCACAATGCCATCAAGAAGTGCAAGGGAAGCAAGAAAGGAGGCTTTCTGTCTGTCTGGCCATCTGATGAAGAAAACAACATTGCTACTGACAGAGGTATCACTCCTACTAGCATAAGTACCGACCTCGTTTCTATTGGTACCACTTCTCCTGATATTACTTCCTCTCCAACTGCTATTGAAGGTACTTCAACCAATATGGACAACATTCCTGCCAATGGTTTACCACGCAGTGAAAAAATTCAGGTAATTTTCAAGAATGACATTAATGCTCTTCTTCAATCTAAGAAATAAAATTTCAGGAAACAATGCCAAGAAGTCAAAGTAAATGCCAGAAATGGGCAGAAACATAATTTTGCAAACTAAAACTTTGAATGGAGCAAAAAAAAACTTATAATACTTTTGATCCTTCACTTTGCAAGCATGACCAATAGAAGTGCATCAATACAGTGAAACCTGTAAAACAAAATGTTCAAATACAGGCAACCCATTTTATTTATATGTTACAACACACTGATTATGATTAGAAAAGCAACCTTGTCCGTCCGTCCATACAAACCAGAGCTACATTATGGGGTTTGGTCTATTGTTCTCATAACAATGGATGTCTTTGAAGTCATTCATTCCGTTTCTCTGTGGGGTTATTTTCTGCATTGTGGGGTTAAAAAAAAAAGAAATAACAAAAGAAAACCCCATAATGTAGCTCTGATAAGAATGTCCGTCCGTCCATCCCCTTCAACAAGAGGTATTAACATGAAACTTTGTAGGTAGATAGATCTCATTGAGTAGGTGTGCAGTGCACAAGAACCATAACTCTGTCTTGCCTAATTTTTGAATTATTCCCCTTTGTTTATTTTTACACTTTGAATTGTCCAGGACATAACACTAAAAGTATAAGAGGTATCAACATGAAACTTTGTAGGTAGATTGATCTCATTAAGTAAGTGTGCATTGAACAAGAACCGTAACACTGCCTTGCCTAATTTTTGAATTATTCCCCTTTGTTATTTTTATACTTTGAACTTTGTCCGGGACATAACTTTAAATGTATAAGAGGTATCAACATGAAACTTTGTAGGTAGATAGATCTCATTGAGTAGGTGTGCAGTGCACAAGAACCGTAACTTGCATTGCCTAATTTTTGAATTATTCCCCTTTGTTCATTTTGAAGTTATTGCCCTTTGTTTATTTTTACTTTTTGACTCTTGTCCGGGACATAACTTTAAAACTATTACAGAAATCAACATGAAACGTTGTAGGTAGCTAGATATAATTGGATAGAACTGCAATGCTTCAAGAACCTAAACAAAGCCTGGTCTAATTTTCGAGTTAGTGCCCTTTGTTCATTTTTACACATTGAATTTTACCCGGGACATAACTCTGATATCATCAGGAATATTTATGGATAGATAGATCTCATTGAATAGAAGTGCAGTGCAAAAAAACATAACTCCGCAGGCCTAGACATTAACTTTTGAATCAGGTTGTCCTGTTGGGCAAGTAGTTTTTAAAAAAGACAATTTCCAAAAAATTTTTTTTGCTTTGTATTTTTTCATAAAAAAATTTTATAATCATTTAAAGTTTTTTATTATGTAAATCAAAACTTTACAAAGGGTTTAAAATATTTGTTTAACTTTTTAAAAAACAATTAAAAAAAAAACCCTTTCAAAAAAAAAATTTTGAAAAAAAAAATTGCCTAGAATTTTTGTTTGGTTTATTTTGAAAATTTAGTCTTGCATAAAAAATCTGATTTTTTACAGTATCAAATTATTTTTTACAAATATAAGAATAATATTTTTTTTTTACAGGGCAAAAAAAAGACCCCCAGCAAAAAACTGTTTTTTTTTTGAAAAGGGGCGGAGACTACCAGACACAAGCTGATCCCCTTTTCGATCTCCATACAACAAAATATGCTTACAATAGACCAGGCCGACTTTTTCATTAAAGGTAACACAATCGAAACAAAAAGTCGTTCTTTTGATCACAGACATTACCATTTGGGAACTAAAACAGTTCAAGAGATTCAAAATCTTTGTGCAAACCAACATGTGTTGAGCAGAACACAGTTGTAATGAGTGTTCATGTCCTTTTGTGCAAATAGTGAAAAAAATTGAGAAAAAATATTGGAAAAAAGGTTATAGATTTGATAACAAATTTGAAAACAAATTCAACAAAAAGCCTAGTGTCTGTCGATTTTTTTTTAAAAAGTGTTAAAAATTCAAAATAGAAATGAAAACCATCATATCAAGGGTTGCAGCAGAAGAAACTTTAGAAAATGGGCCAATAATGTCCATCACCCAAAAACAAAAATCAACACAAAAGCCTGGAATAACATTTTAAGAAATTGGAGAAAACGAGGAAAAATGCTGAAAAGCTTTTTGAAAAGGAAAAACTATGTGCTTTCTCCAATTCCAAAATGAACCCCCTCCTCTTACACTTCCGCAAGTGTTGATCACTTCACAGTTCAGCTATGGCTGGATGGGGATCATCATTAAAAGATTAAGAAAAACACTTTTCTCACCCCTTTTATTTTGGAGGTATAGCTGAAATCTGTTCGGAAAAAACATTTCCCAACTGACCGAATGAATACCTACATGCAGAAACTGGTTTTTACAAGCAAAACTAAATGCCTGCTCTATCGGGGAAATTTTGGGGAACTTTGAGGGAAAGGTTTTTAAATGATGAACTTATTGGAAAGAATTAATGGAAAAAGGGGAAAAAAGGTCTATCACAAGAAGAAACACGCCATTTAACTGCCTGTTTGGACAGTAGCACCGGGCCCCAAAAGCAAAAAAACTGGGCCAAAGCAGTAAAACTGGTTAAGAAACTTTGATTTTTCCCCACCAAAGAGACCGGTTTAGCCACTGGTGTGATAAAAAGTAATGAGACATAAAAAGAAAACAAAACATAAATGTTTGGAAATTATGTGTTGTATTGTGGTTGATTGGAGAGTTTTAATTTTAAAATG